CTAGCTGAAGAGAGTTAAGCTCTTAAAGTAATACTAAGACCATTAGGATTTAAGAATTTACTCAAACAAAAAAGGATGGAGAAAACATAAACTTGTTATAGGAAATCGTGGCAGGTAATGAAAATCCATCACATTAAATTTGCAACAGTATCTGTTTATCACCTAGTGTTATTCAAATTATGATTGAGATACAGATCGAGGAACATCTCAAATTTATTCAATAAAATCATATTGTTTTCCCTAGATTTTAAAACGTAATGATCCTGCAACATGATTCAGCAAGCCTAAAAAACCACGTAAAAAATACAAGCATAACTCTAAAAACTTAACGAGAAAAATAAGATGCATATTGAGTTGAGTGAATTTTGCAGTACTGCTACTAATGGCTATTGCCCACACAAATTACAGCATTAGTAAAAGGTACTCCCACAGATTCTCCTAAAAGATCATCATATAGGTGGATACCAAATGTGTTTCAACAATAATACCTTATTTATTTCTTGTCGTAATTTGTCAGTGATTTCGGTCTTCCTGGGCTTCATCATCTGACCCATTAGAGAAAATGTCTTGTCCCCCTTGTGGTCGTGCATTGGCAGCATCCAAATCATGTAGTGTTACATCCCGGTGGTGAAGAAAATAGAATATAAATTACTTTTATGAATTTTAATATGGATAGAAAACATATAAATTTACAACCAGAGAAAGGCAAAGGGGACTAAGCCCAGCAAAGCGATAATTGTAACATATCAGGCAAATGTTGAATGCGTCAGAATCATATATTTTCCCCTTTTTTCTTCATTGAGTGTGTTGCAGCTCTTAAGCAAATGAAAGGAATGAGGATAATGGTAGTTTATTATATACAAACAAAATTGATTAACAAAGAATGTCCATTACAACCAGTATCAAATATAAGCATAAAGAAGTCATTAAGGCCAATCAGATTATACTATGGAATAAATGCTAAGGGGAGCACAGAGAAAGCTTAATCTCAGTGGAACAAACCTGCACTATCTCCTTCTTTTTGTGAACCTCTCCTTTGGGAAGCGGCACATATTCTTCTGCTTCAAGGTCAAATTCAGTGGCAAAAGCATCGCTTATGCCCCTTTTGACAGCTCCACTATTTGCTTCAATGTATATAACATCTCCAACAGCTACCTGCCAGTCAAACTAAAACCTCACTAACTTTCAATTCGAAGCCAAAACTCTTAGGAAGATAAAAGCATAAATGTTGAAGGATACCTAGAGTAGACACAAATATTTGAACACGATACAGTGCCTCATTTAGTTCACAAGAAGTCAGAAAATAAAAACTTGAACAATCTTTTCAAAATTACAATGCAGAGAAACTTAAAGGCTTACAGCTAACCTTTTCTTTAATCAAGGCATCATAAATAGTAGGGTCCAACTTCAGTTGTTTTGTTCCTTTGACAGTTTTCAACCCAATAATCACATGGCTAATGCTTTTACCATAACCACCTGTTATGCTCTCTGTTTCTTCAGGAGAGAGTTCAGTAACCTGAAACAAAACAAGCCAGGAATCAGGCTTTATTCTATCCCAACAACCCAATGAGAAAACAATCACATAAAAGCAGGGATAGAGAACTGTATTTGATGCAACTTGCCTCTCCTTCATAGACCTCTTTGTTTTCCTTGATATGTAGACCAATAGCCCGTCGGAAATTTTCCATCAAAATTTCAGTTTTCTTTACTTCTGAACAGTATACTTCAGATCCAATCATTGGACAGAAAGGAACCTGCAAATAAGGAAGAGGAATATATATAGGCAAAAATCGGCAATCCCTCCAAAAGAACTGGCATACTAATAACGCCAAAGTTCAAGTATATTCAGAAAATAAAGGTAAAAGGCAATGAGAACCTTGCTCCCAAGTTCTTGGGATATTCCTAAGGCCAAAGCTGTTTTCCCTGTACCAGGAGGCCCGGCCAGCAAAAGTGCACGGCCAGCCATCTTTTTCTGCCTTATCATATCGACGACAACGAGACCAGCTGCTTCCCTTGCCTCTGCTTGGCCAACAAAACCTGCAGCCAAAGGAGTAGCATTTCCAATGGCCTGGTAACAAAGGAAAAGGAAAATTCTTTAGGGAAGACATTGCAATTTTGCTAGCAAAACAATAAGTGGACGGAAGATAAATATATGTGAGAAGCCAATTAGAAGTTTCAAACTTTTTTATCATTGCAACCACAGACTTTCCAGTTGAACTTCATAGTGAAAGTACATGAACAAAACCCACTTCTTCAACTCTAATGTGCATTACAAAATCATAAAATTAATAACAACCTACTTCATGAAACAGCACAGCCAGTTCTTTCCATAGTCCATTAGTTGAGAATTAACCAAAATTCATTCAGTATATACTATTATCTCCGTCTTTGAACATCAAATTTAATCTAAACTATACTTTATCGGCTCTAACACTTCAAAGTATGCCAGACCCAAATCCAAAAGCAGACAATAAACTCCAGTAATTGAAAAATTCAATACTTTGTCTTAAATCCCTAAAAAAACAGAAAAGGCAAGGGGAAAAAGTAACTTCCCATGGCTTAAAACAAAAAGGAAACTTCAGAATGCCCACAATTACAACAATGTTGCGAATATTCACGAAAATACAAGACATTTAAGCTGAGGGAAAAAAACTAAAAAAACAAAAAGAAAGAGAAGGAGTGGAGTGGAGTAAATACATCGAGACCAAGGCCTTTGATGTGAATGTGAGTAGCGATTCTCTGCTTTTTAGCCGTTGATTGAACCTCTTCTATCTTCATTATCTCTTTCCTTTCTTTTCCACTGTTTCAGTGTTTTTTCCCCCTATCGAAGAAGCTTCAAGCTTGGGAAGCAATAGTAGCAAAGACTGCAAATTGACCCTGGCTCTTTCCCGTGAAGAAATAAGAGGGAGGCTTTTCTTAAACCCTTCTCCAGCAAACTACATCCACTTTAACTCCGCTATGAGAGTGCGTTTTATTTACGAATGTAAGATTATTAGTATAAAAATATTATATTTAATGTTTAGTTAGTTTAACATAAATGTAAGATTATAGTATTCGAGTAAATTAATAAAAGATTATTAAAATATATATTTTTATCAAATTATTTTTATTATATTTTTATTTTTTAACAAGTTGAATTTTATTATAATTTTACTATGATTAATTTATATATTTTCTTTAAAAATTTTAAATTCATAAAATTTATATAATTTATTTTACAAAATTGAAAAGATAAATAGGTTTAATGAAAGGATAAAATTTTATTTTAACCCCTAAACTTCATATAAAATTTTAATTATGGATTTTTTTTTTGTAAATCTAAAATAGTTTAAGGATAAATTTGTAATTTAATTTTCGTAGAAGTTTTTTATTAAACGACAGAATAATGATCTTTTTGAGAGAAAAAAAATTAAGGGTATTTTAGTCTAAAACATCGATAATCTAGCAATATCTAAGGGAAGAGATAATCACATTCTCGATAATATACCCCAAAATACTACTGTTGGGAATAAAGGATTACTGGGGGTTGAGAATGTTTGCCAATTGAATGGGAGAATGACATTCCATTCCCCGGTAATCCAAGATTACCTGAACCAAACACCCCTTAATTGCATAAACTCAACCTAAGGTCTCTTTTCTTTTTTTGATTTATCTTACTTTGCTCATCAATTTTGATAAAGTTATGTTTTGGTCACTTACGTTATTGATGTATTATATCTTGATCATTAAACTATTAACTCTCGTTAAATTAATGACGTGACACGTTAAAAAATATAGTTTTTAATTGAACTCTTAAAATTTAAAAAAATATCAATTATTTCAACTTTTATTTTATTAATTTCAGATTTTTATTAAGAGAACTTGATAACATTAAAGAAAACATAAATATGAAAATCCTAAAAAAAGATTAGTCATCAAATAATATCAAGAATTTAACAAATGCATTTGGTTTTTAAAAGAGGTTTTTCTGTTAAAAAAAGATTTTTGAAAGGTTTTAAATGTTCTTTTCATCATAGCACGTTCAAAGTGGTGGAAAGTGGTGGGGAGACCTAAAGTTTATATTTGGAGGGAAAATGAGAAGACAAAGAGAAGAAATCGAAACTTAATAGAAAAATGGGGAAAAATATAAAAGTACAAACGAGTAAATTATTTGAAAAAATAGAGCGAATAGAAGTTTACTTTGAAATCTTAATATTTTTCACAATATTTATAAAACTCATCACGTTAAGATAAAAAAAATTAAATATTTTTTATTAGAATACATTTTTAAATAATATAAATCCTAAAATAAATACAAAAACAGAGTGCCATCACTCTCAACTCAACTCAAACTCGATGAGTTTCGACCTGATCCAGTTGAGTCGGATTTTTTTAAAAAAAAATTTAGGTTCGGGTCGGGTTGGTTTTTTTTAATGCACTGTTCGGGTTAGGTTTAGGGTGAAAAAATCTGACTCGACCCGATCAGAAAATATATATAATTTTATCATATATATTTAGGGATAATTACAATAACACCCCTCTATATATAATTTTTTTCAATTAAGTCACTATTTTTATTGAATAAAAATATATATTTTTATTATTTCGGATCAGGTCAGATCGGATCATGTTTCTAAGTCATATATTCGGGTCAGATCAGATCGGATGAAACCTTAATTTCTTCGAATCAGATCACAGATGGAGGATCATTTCTTATTAGACGAATGATCCAAAAACCCAACCCGACTCAACCCATTGCCATCCTACTCAAGTGAGGAAAGGATCTAAAAGCAAATTGAGAAAACGACAGAGTACTGCCCGTCCATCCAATCATTGAACGCCACGTCACTCTCCTCAATTTAATCCACTGTCGTACAAATCCCACACTTGCTCCCCACGTGTCGGGTTCCCGGCGACGAGCCACCCGTCGTCGACTTTTAAAAAGCAGCCTCCCATTTTCTCTTTATAAAGACACGTTCTCTCTATCAAAAAAGAAAGAAAAAATAACTTCAAACGCTTTCTCGTCTCCTCATTTTGGCTTTTGCCTCATTTCTTCAAAAACCCTAAATAAATAAATATCCAATCTTTCATTTTGTGCTTGTTTCTTGTATTGCAGATCTCAACTGGGTTTCCAAACCCTTTCTCTCTTTCTTTTAGAGGTGCGTTTTTCTTTTCATTTTTGTTCTTTTTTCGTCTTTTCAATTTTATTGATTGGTTTTTGTTCTGGGGCATTCTTGATCTTGTATTGGGGGTTCTGATATTTGCTTGATTTCTGTGTTTTGTGTTGTTCTTTTTTTTAATACCTTTTATGTGTTCTTGGTTGGCTGCTAAGAAAGGGTAGGAAAATAGAAGATAGAGAATTTTTCAAGTAATTTAATTGTGGAGGAAGTTGTGATGTTCTTGCGGGAAGTCGAGTTGTTGAATGGGTCCATTTTACTGAACCGTGTGTTCTTTAATAGTTATATGTTATAATAGGGGGTTAAGATTATCATTTTAAGACGTTTCCTACCTTTTCTTCGTAATCAAACAAGGTTTTGGTAGACAAAGTTTTCATGTTTTAGTTGATGTTCTTTTTCTTGGAAATTTGCGTGGTTGTTGATTGCAGCTTGGGCCAGTGACGGTGAAATTTGGGGGGGGGGTTCTGGGTATAAAATTTCGAGTACTTTGAGGGTTTTATTGTTTAAAGTACGGAGATCTGGGTCTCATGAGACTTATCAGGGGAATGCAGAGATCGTTTGGCGAGGAGGCGAACGTGCTGGACTGGAATAATTCCTTCAGCCGTGGGATTGGCATTACTGCTCCCAAGGCAAGAAAACGAGACAAGGCTATGGGTCTCTGAATTTAAGGGGTTTCGGAACAAGGAAGAATTAGGGCTAGTGCTTCTCATTGAGAATAATTATCATCAAAAGCAATGACTCGCATTTTGGTTCAACGAGGTTCCAGTAGCAGCTCTTCATCAACTCCAAGCCGATCTTCTTCCTTGCCGGGGTCATCTTCTTCTTCGGCAGAGCCTCAATTATCTCCCATTCAAGTTCCACCAGCTGTGGGAGATGATGAGGCTAGTGAGGAAGTGCAGGAACAAATTGGTTTGGATGAACTTTTAGAGTGTAATAGGAGTAGTGAAAAGGCTGTGGAAAGTGATGATCCTTTGCCAGAAAAATTGCGTAATGATTGGAACAAAGGTTTGAGTGATACTCTTGCTGAGGCTGAGCAATTGAATGCACTTGATGCCTCGGGTTCGTGTGATATAATGAATGATTTGGGTGGGTTGAGGATTCCAAAAAAAGTCGTTGCTGAAACTGAAGGTTCAAGTAATGATCCTTTACCATTTGGTAGTGGAAGCCCACATCCGCCTCCACCTCCTGTTCCACCACCTAAACCTTCATCTGCTAACTCAAATTCAAGAAGATTTACCTCAGGAAGTTCAAATCTTGTTCGTGCTGGATCATCTAGAAGAGCTGTTGCCTGGCCCACTGTTTCAACAAGGACTTCACCCTCTGGGTCACGCCCATCTTCTCCTAGATCTCACGGTGAGAGTGAGGGTTATAATAGTGCTGATGAACAGATCCCATGTTTTGTATCCTCGTATAATGATGCGGTAAGTTTTTGTATCGCTAAAAGTAATCTTGTATGGAAATTTTCATATCCTTGGCATGAAAAATCTGATACGATTATGTGCTATCATCTGCAATTACAAGAATACGTGTATTTTTCTTTTTTGCAGATAAGCCATGTTTTTATCTGTTTGCATCCAAAGATCCTTATTTTGAATTTGTAACGCATGATATTTTCTATGTTTGAATGGAATGTTTGTGCATTTGTTGTTCCTTTTGAATAAATGTGACCTGAAGTTAATGCTTAGTTTCATGGTTCAAATTGATATCGCATTCAACTCCAGAACTGGTTTGTTGCATCTGTTTCAGGAAAGGGAACGCCAATTCGAAATCGATATTAGACGAGCAAAAGGTTTAGAAGTTAAACGGATGCTAGAAGATGGTAACTGCCTCTTCCGTGCTGTTGCTGATCAAGTGTATGGGGACTCTGAAACCTATGATTTGATTCGACAAATGTGCATTGATTACATGGTATGAATGTCTGATGCCTGAGCTATAAATACTATTACTGTTATTATAGGTGCATTGATTTTGAATTATGGTAGGAATGATCATTTCTTCTCTTTATTGGATAGGCATACTGTGTAGCATTTGTTCTCTCTTATAAGCTTGAGCTAGATTAAATATTTGGATGTGATTAAAATGGTTTTGGATAAGTTAGATTTCTTGCTTGTCATGCCAATGATGTCATGTGTATTATTTTTGGCGATTCCTGTCACATTATTGTTGAGGCGCTTGAGATTTGGAATATTTTTATGACGGTACTCTTGAATTGTTCATCCAGGAGCGAGAGAGGGATCACTTTTCTCAGTTTATAACAGAAGGTTTTACAACTTACTGCAAGAGGAAAAGAAGAGATAAGGTATGATGAAGCTTGTAATTGACCGCACTATCCTCATATCTAGTTGGTTTTCCTTTTATGGGGTTAGGTACATTATATTGTAAAATGTTTTGAAAGCATCGTTTCTTTTATCTTTTGATATACAGGTCTATGGAAACAACGCGGAGATTCAAGCTGTGTCGGAAATGTACAACAGACCTATTCATATATATTCCTACAGCATAGGTGATGATTGATGGTTTTGATGATTGACTTAATTAGTTGTGTTCTATCCTCTTCTTACCTCCATATTTGATGCAGAACCTATTAACATTTTTCATGGAAGCTATAATACTGACACTCCTCCAATAAGGCTGAGCTACCATCATGGGAATCATTACAACTCTCTTGTTGATCCTCGTCGTCTGACTGTCGGTGCCGGGCTTGGATTTAGCTGTCTTCAAGGGGTGTGTCTAAATTTCTTTCTTCCTTTTTCCACTTTCTTTGTTGGTTGTTTCTCGGTTAAAGCATGCTTAAAGCTTTGGTCTTGCTGGGAAACTGAAATTGTATCCAAGGCTTAAATGGCAGAATACTTTCTACTTGAATGTGGTGTTTGAATGAATCAGAATCACAAACTGGATTTACGTTGCTGCCTTTGCTTCGTTGTGCAGGAAAATGTGGACAAGGATCAAGTCAAGGCGGCCATTAAATCTCAACAAGATTGGCAGATTGACAATGTAAGTTTTTGATGGTTTGAAATTATTCTTCTTTACTTTGTGTTTAGGATGGTATTGTTATTAACAGTCTTTCTTTGAAACTGCATACTGACAGGCACTTCTGGCTGAGGGTCGATTTTACTCTGATCTTGAACTTACCGAGAAGGAAATTGAGCGAATGGTGATGGAAACATCTCGAGCTGAATACCTTGCCAATGACAAGTTTAATCCACATGTTGGGTGTAAAGAATTATCCACTTCGACTGCTGAACCGTCATCTTCTGGAGCTAGTGAGTATTCTAGAGATTCCAAAGCATAATGTCGTTGCTCTCTGATTGCCTGTCATGAATATGCTTGTGAATTATTTGATAACAGGGCCGTCGGGCAGTGAAACGGAAGTGGAGGGCTCAAATGAGCAGGGTATGCAGAATAGTGTTCTGAGCAGTGGGATGCAGTTGCTGTTGTCGATGGGATTCAGTTATTTGCAGGTAAAGGAAGCATATAGCATATTTGGGGATGATGTAGATTCTATGGTGTGTTATCTCATAGAAACCGGGAGTAGCAGCAGAAGCAAAGGCAAGGGAACGGATTTAGTCATAGACTAGTGCCCCAAAATGTAGCAGCAGCAGCAGTCTCCGTGTGTGTGTTCCGTTGGCACTGGTAATGACTGGTATTGGAAATAGATATAGAACAAATTCTTATCTACTGAGAACACCACATCAGACTGCTGGATGTGTTTGAACTACATTCCTAGTTAATAAAATGCCATTATTAGCTTTAGTATCCCAATATTTTTCTTTTTGATTATATGGTGAGAAGTCTGTCACAAACCCAAAAAAAAAGAAAATGAAAAATGAAAAAATAGAAATAAGAATTGTTGGAATAAACCAATAGAAAGCACATCCGAGGGAAAGAAAATGAAATATTCCATGTATTACAATATACTCGCATGTCAGCAAGACATTCAGCAATTAACTTCACACCTTGCAGTTTCATCCACATAAAAGAATCATGCTCTCAGCAACACATGATGAAAATAAGATTAATAAATACTTGGGTTTGAAACTATGACCTGCCATCAAACTGACCACCGGTGCCTTGGAAGAGTTGAGGGGTGTGTGGCAGAAGTGACTCAGTCTTGAGAACTGTTCATGCCTCCAATCTACCTATTATAAACGGAATAAAGGCAAGCACATAGGGTTCCGATATTCAATACCCTAAATTGGACATAGAGTTCCGATATTCAATGCCCTAAATTGATAGTTCATCTTGCTGTAAACGTGTTTATGCATATTTAGACTCGTGTGAGTTATACTTGCGTAATTGAACGGGTTTGATTGATGAATTTTGCAGGTTTAGATTTGCTTTTTCTGTACAATAGCTTAAATTGTATGTTTATATTGTACATATGCACGAGTCTCTTGATGTGTTTATATATATTGAATTGGATCATATCATTACTCTCATCCCATGACTCGTAATCAGGTTCAGAGTGCCACGATTCTAATATTGATACTCCATTATAGGTAAGCATATATAATAACACTGGACACAGATGAGATTAATCAAAATAAAAATGTGATTGCTTTAATTGATACCCCCATTTGTGGTATTAGAACCAAATCGTTTGTTTGATAATTAGCGAATTATTATTATGGGGGGTATCTGCTTTCAGTTTTCTTTAACATATATATTCACTCAATTACTAATGTGTGTGTTTTTCATCAAACTACTAAACTTTCAGTTTTATCACACCACGGGGGTAAAACGATAGCTCATGGGTAAACATATCTGACAGGGTAAAGTGATAATCTAGTATGAAGAGAAATTTGTGATGAGATTATTCCATAGGTTCCAACACAATAAAAGAAACAAAGCAAGAAAGATGGTGTTCAAATTTTACCACTAAACAATTTCAAGAGCTAGATTTCCCAACATTCGAGCCAGAGGAAGTGGGCATTTTGAAACAATATCAAACCTGGACGAATTGGATGCATGTCCGAACAAAGACAAGCTAAAACAGGCAAGTTCAACAATAGACAGCCTTGACGACAGGTAACCATGCCAGTAATAAGGATCCAAATCAAAGAAAGCTTCAAAGAAATTCCTGGTTCCCACTAAGTCGAGCTTCAGCAACGTTTCCATGCCAAACCGGCAAAATTCTCTGCTAAGTCTCCTCTCAATAGGCCACAATCCATTCCATACTTTGTGGTAAAGCGGGCTCCCTCTTATCATCCTCGTCGAACCAAGACATTCCGCGATAGCCTCCGCCACGACCGGCGCTAATGCCATTGTCCGAGCAACCATGTATCCGGTCGAAGGATGGACTACCCCTGAAATCCCACCTATAGCCAATACATTCTGAGGGATTCTAGGAAGAGGGCCACCCATTGGGATCAAGCACTTCTCATCTTCCATCACTCTCCTGACTCTAATCCCTAAATGCCTTAGCCTTGCTACCATCCTTCTCTTGATCTCCGAATACGACAGCACCGGTCGACTAACCAGAGAAGTCTCTTCCAAATACACCAAGTTCGAATCGAAGGGCATCGCATATAGAAAAGTGGGTATTTTCGAATTGTTGGCTCGTAAATTGGGTTCATTTCCTAAATGGGAGTCTCTCCAATCCATGAGAACCATCTTATCCAAGTCAAAAGGATGATCATCAACCTCAGCTAAAATGCCATGAGCAATCTGATACCCACAGTTCCTAGGCTTATCAAACTCTGTGAAACTGCTGGTGAAACCGCTAGCATCGACGATTAAGTTGGCCTTAAGCTCACTGCCATCGTCACACTCGATGGAAGACTCGAACTCCTCATGTTTCACATTCCAAACCTTAGCCTTATGAAATTTAACTGAATTGGACACACAATTCTCCAATAGCTTTGTCTTGAGTTTCTTCCTAGAGACCCTGCCATAAGGCCTGTCTAAATACTTGGTCTTAAGATCATCAATATAGACACAAGTCATAGGCCATGTCTTGTCTAGACAATCCACAAGTCCTATGTCCTCAAACTCATCGACCCACACTCCATAATTGTTAGGCCAAGCAGAAAGCGGTGAAGGGTCGATGCAACACACCTTGATTCCAAAGCGGGACACTTGCTCGGCGAGACGGAGACCACCGGGACCGGTGCCGATAACGATGACATCGAAGCGAGGCCGATCGGAAGGGTTAAACCAAGACAGGTCGAAATCTAAGCACTCGGGTTTGGACTCTGGTTCTAGGTGGAGGAAGTCGCCGAACTTGCTGGTGCAGTTGATGCGATGACGGGTGTTCCTTGATGTTGTTAAATGGAGTTTTGAAGAAGGAAACGAAGGGAAGAGTGGGCGATCCTTGCTGATTGGTAAAGCTGATAAAGGAGGCCCAGCCAGGGATTCCATGAAAAAGAAGGCTGAAAAGATGCTTTGTTTCTAACAAGTTTCAACTGATGGAAGAAAGAAGCGGTGGCTTTGACTTTGGCATGGAGGCAGGCAGATACCTAAGATCACTTAATTGGTAGATGGGAGACTTTGGGGATACTGGCATTTTGACAGCAACCTTTGACTGTTTGTTTGTTTGTCTATCGGCATCCATTGTGGATGCCACTTACCTTTGGATGATTAGATTGAGATGGGATAGCACTTCTTTAATGGTGGAGTTAGGCAGGTGGGACCCGCCCGCTGATGTTTTTTTTATTTGGTTAAAGGTTATGGGGCGGCGGAGATTAGGCTTTTTGTTTTGTTCTCGGTTCCGCTGGGGCATAAGGGCCGGGAACTGGGGGTTCGGTTTTCACTTGTCAGTGTCGTCGGTTTATTGTCTTGTCTGCTTTCATTTTGCTCCATCATGGAATTATTCCTTCTTACTCTTTTACTACATTTAATTTTTGGGTAAACTACACAGCTGATTTCTTTTATTTTTAGTCTGTATTATTTTGATTAATACTTTTGAAAAAGTTATGTTTTAGTCAATTTCTTAAAAAAATCTTAAGTGATTATAAAGTAGAATATGTTCATAAATTATAATTTGTCTTGATCATTAACAATTCACATACATCTTGCAGGTATAGCTAATCAAACTTATGATCTTAAGATATAACAAGATTCCCTTTAACCACCGAAGTTAATTTTATTATAATAAAAATAATTAAATTTTAACTTGATTTTTAAATTTTTTTAAAAAATATTAATTTGAACCTAAACTTTAGATAAAAATCTAATTTAACCTCTAAACTTTAAATGAAATATCATTTAAATCCACTCAAAGTTTTCGTCACTAACTATTAATCATCATTGTTGGTCATCGTCGGTTGTCATCACCGGTCACCACTAAATACCATCACTGACAATCATTGGACCCCAAAATTTTTAATTCACTCCTTTTTAAAATCTTAAACACGAATATGACGTTCGTTTCATCAAAAAATACTTCGAATTCTATGGCAAACATGATTTAAAATCCCTCAAATTTCTTTAAAAATAAACCATCATAATAAATTTATCATTATATTCCTCAAAAAATAAGGATAATGAAAAATAAAATTTATATTATAATACGTATGTACGCCCCCACACGATAAGTTTGTAATTTTGAAGACAAACGCGTACCTAAGCAGAAACTTGGACCGGTAAGACTGCCTTTCACGATCTGCACGAAGGTAAAGCGATGCCTCCACAGCAAGCAGCAATTATTATGGTAATAGAACAATCAAGCATGTCAACAGTATCCTGTACACAGAGACATGTAAGTTCCCTAACATGGAGCTTAATTATTTTGTTATTTACACATTAATAAATGGGATACTTATTTATATTTCCATGAAACAATATTAAGCAACTAAAACTACTCACAAGAGTTTTGCATTTGCTTGATGTAGGCGTTTAGATTGTTTCTTGAAATGGAATGCACCATCTTTCATTGTTGCAGTTTTGTCAACAAGAAGTTCAATCTTGTCGCCTCTCTCGAGTATTTTATCCATGTTTTCCACCATGACAGTACGTATATGAAAAATCAAATATAAATCACAAATTCAGGGCACATTAGTCACTTGACGTGCTGCTATTCACAACAATGATGTCAATACAGACAATAACAGCCATAGATAGTTTCTCTAAGAGATGCTAACCCATGGTATTTTCTCATTAAGAATCGGCTAACAATGGTGATGAAAAACTTGAACACTCTTATCGGTGTTAGAGATTTGAATTTTTCCAAGACATTTCACTCTGAAAATATTGCCTGGGAAGTACTGAGTGAAATGTAAAGGTAATTAGCCTAGCCTGAATGAAGAGCAAGTGGTTTTGCAGCGCTCTAAAGCACCCATCCACACATAATGGCAAGAACAAGCTACCCGAAAAAAGATGAGGGAAATCCAACACGATAAAGTTCCAGCTATAGCAAGATACTTGCCTCACCCACTTCAGCTCTAACATGATTGAGTGTATCTGCGCTAGGATTATTAGAGAAAAACTCCATTTTTTGATGCAGCACTCGAGAGAACTCATCGTTCATTGCGTATGCAGGTTCATAATGAGCCACTTTGCCATAGTTTTTCATGACTATCATGTGAATATCCTCCAAGTATGAAAACGGAATTCTCCCTATATTAAGGCACAGTGATATGAATACTGACTTGGAAAGGATAATCTTCTGTTTCTTAACGAAAAGGAAACGTAACAAATCCATCAAGGATATAAATCTCTAAACAAAGGAATATTCAGCTTTTACATGATAGAATTAATCCCCAAAACAAAAACATATCCGATTATAAATTATGCAAAAACAGTTTTGTAATCCAGAACAGTCATGTAATCCATGGCAATGAAACTGCTCACAGGCTGAAGGTAGAAAAGTGATTTTAACACCATGAATGAAAAAGAATAATATACTAAATTATCTCTCCATTATGGAAAACATAAAAGGACAGAAAAAACTGCTCAAACAGCATCAAACAAAGGAGGATTTTGATGATTTTTAAAGGAATTGTTCAAAATTATTCTTGATCATATCCCAATTTTAGCTTCAAATAGAAGCTGTCAGTTATGTCAAATGTATTTAATCAAACCTAAGGTGTTTGTATTTTCTTCACTTCATGTGATTAGCAATGATTCATTACCCACTAATTAAGCAACGAAAATGAACACGTTCATGCTGAATAATATTTTGTTCGTATATTATATAATTTTTAACAAAATAAAAATAAACAACGAAAATCTATAATATTAACAAAAACTTGGGAGAAAAAAGAATACATCAATAAAAACAGAACCAAATAATAATGGCAAGCACATCTTCAAATCCAAAGAGAACCAAAACAGCAAAGACGGATAAATCTCTACAAAAACCGTGGGATTTTGCCCAACCAAAAATGATAATCCCTTTAGATCTTGCCAGTTATTTGTTGTTATGTTCCTTTAATCTACAAGTGTGGAGAAGAAAGTCTGCTACTTTATCTGTTCCCAAACATCATCTTCACCAGCCTCTGCTGGATTATAGCCGTCGCCTCCATAATGTGAAGCTCCCGAGGGGCTTGTTATGATCTCCATCATCAAGGTGGCTCTCTCGGCAGTTGCCGTGGGATTATTGTGTGGTTCTAACGGCCGTCTATCGAACGCTCGAGCACCGCTCGATACGGCCTAGGCTCGACACAGACTGAATTCATGTCTCATCTGGACACAGAATCGGTAAACAAGCAAAAGATTGTTAAAAATGGAAGCTTTTTTTTTGCCCGAAAGAGTTGTGCAAGTGCAACTATTAAATATAAGTTCACCTTAGGAGCAGTAGCAGCCTTAGATGGATCGATGGCTCCATATTCATTCATCTTCCATTTGGTTTTCCTCCCACAAGATGCTTTTCCGTTATAAAATACCATCGTCTTCTTCATTTCGATCACTCGATGATCATCCGATGAGTAGACGTATCCCGGAGACCCGCCGCCTTCCAATATCCGGAGGCCGTAGTTCTATTCGGTCTCCCTCCTCGAGCTTCCTTCTCTTGTGTTGGTGTAAAGTAAAACCATTGCTCTGTCTCCTTTACAACGCTGAAGAGGCTACTTGCTGAAGAAGTCTTGTTTAACTATAGTGATTTGAGAACATGAAAGGGTGAAGAATAAGTACTTGGAAGGGCCCATGGATCTACGTCGTAAATGTTCGAGACTGGGATAACAAGGTGCATGTCCCGTCTCATGCCGCCTAACTGGTTACGTAGGTAGAATGAAACCAACTCCTCTTCAGTCGGAAAGAACCGAAAACCGACCGCCGCTCCCGTTTTCAGATACGCAGCACTATGTGTGTTTGTGCTTGGAATGAGTTGTGAATGTAAAATGGGGTCGGTTTAAATAGTTTGTTTGCCGAGTAAATTTGGAAAAAAAATGTTTCGATGGTGGAAACTTCCACACAGTTAGTATGACTCGTCATCGACTAAAGGACAGTTTACCATTGAACAATGCCATTCACTGGTCTTTGAAGAGATTTTTTCTATTTGTAGATCGTGGGCTGTCGGAGAACGAACCTATTTGTAGTCACATCATCTCTGCTAATGAAATCAATCGCGACTCATAATTTTATTCGTCCTTAAATTTTTAAATTATTATATATTTTAAATATTATTTTATCGTTTTTATTTCTAAGTTTATTTTCACCTGAAATTTTAGAAGTTCACCCCTTATATGAAATTTTACTTATGATTGTGATAGATGTAAAGACGAGCAAACCGGAAATTAAAGTGAACTATCTATCAGAGATGCAGTTAACATGAAAATGTGTTTCGGTCGGAAGATCTCGGTTAGAAGCCAACCGGGAACATTGGAATCTTGGATTAAAATTTGCGTTATTTCTTCCATATTGTGCTTCATGCGAATGGAATTTGCATTGTCTATTGAGGATTTAGTTAAATAATAGAAGCAAAGAGTGGCTCCTGATGCTGATACCTGTTTAGTGGTTGATATTTGATGAAATGGCTGCTAGAGAATGATATTATCTCATTGAATAAAAATGAATTTACGATGAAAATTGTCATTTCAGTTACTCATTTTATTTCACATACGCCAGTCGAACATTTCAATTCCAATTCATATACTCGGATTAGTAAACAAAATGTAAACATTACGTAAATCAAACCTAATTTTACATAGATCTCGCAACCCTAAACACAATACTCAAATCAATAACCAAAATGCAAACATTACTTAAATCTAACCCAAATTTTATATAGATCTCGCAACCCTAAACAAAATACTCAAATCAAGAACGCGCAAGCTACACCTGGATTGAACCCAGAATTTTTTCCGTCGTTTATTTTTCGAATACTAAAAGATTTATATATCAAATTACACATTATATTTAAAATTCGGGGTTAACTACACGGATGATCACTTATGTTTTTGTTTTATCCACTTTTGGTCGTTGATTTCAGAATACATAAGACATGTCCACCTTCGTTTTATTTAATTAAGATATAGTCACTTTTATTTTTATTTATATAAGATGTGGTCACCACGGGTTACCCGATGTTAAATATTTTGGTATAATCACACATTTGATCCTGTTATTTACATATTCTCTCAATGTAATCATACTTTTAATAAATTAAAATAAATTAATCCTCCAATCGAATAATATCACACGTCATAGGTTTTAATTAAGATATAGTCGATGTAAATAAATTTTATTTACACATTTAGTTTTCCCTTTTTGTCTACTAACGTCTCCTTTTCTTTAGATCATTTAATGCAATTTCTGTAATTTAATCTGATGAACTTCGTAATGATCGATTTAGTCCTTGTTGGGGTCTACTACATCGGATTTAAGAAATGAAAGAGAAAAGTAGGAATGAGTTAAATGAAAATGGGAAAATAAATCCTTGATTTTAGTCTAGTCTACTTAGAGATGAATTTTTTGCTTTGACTTTCATATGTTTTAGTCCTTTAGGTCTCCAAAGCCTGAGGGTTTGATTAGTTTTAGGACATTATTTGATTTCTTTTGTTTGATGTGATTTTTGATCTTTTGAATCATGGTGTATAGTTTTAATTTGACCATAACTTCATTTATCTTGAGAAATTGGCTTTGTTTGATGGTGGTAAGACGAGATTATTGGTTCAGCTCCTTTTGGTTACATGATTGTCTATATTATGCTGATTGCAGGTATTATATAGTCAATTACTGTGGCAACCAGAACAGTCGTCAGATACATTTCTTGTAGGTTCTTGAGTGGGAGTGGGAAGGTACTCAGTGAGGAAGAAAAGGTTGCTGAAATATTTACATACAGGTACTCGTTCTTTTCAGGCTGTTTTCATCATTTACCATTAGCATATTGAAGATACTAGTTTTTATTATCCATTTGTGTTTTATTTTTTGATTTATTATAATTATTTTATTATTTTATTATTATTATTATTATTATTTTTATTAAATAATAAATAATTATTACATATTACAGGCCCAATCAAAACTGGACAGGCCCAGTTACAAACAAAACCCAACCATCCCAAATTTGGAAACCCTAAATAGATTAGGATTTCATCTTCTCCAGCCGCTGCTCCTCTTCTTAGCCGTTGGATCTAACCTTGATCCAACGGCCCACATCATGCCAGATGAAACCCTAGGGTATCATAACCCTAGGGACACGCGGTCGCCGCTCCACGTTGCCGACACTACTGCCACGACGCCCACCAAAGGCTTCCAGAAGATCCATTCTAGCCGCATACGTCGCCCAACAGTGAGTTACCACTGGAAGTTTGGTGACTTACCAAGCTTTGGCGTTTTTAACCGGTCCGAAGACATCGCCGGTGGTGGCTATAAAAGCCATCGAGCCCTGCCAACAAAAGATAGAGAGAAAGAACGCCAGCAACCAGGAAGCCAGAGAACAACAACCAAACCACTAAAATAAAATAGATAGAAACCTTACCGAGCCGGAGCCTCCAAATCTCGTCAGAGAAATAAAATACCGAAGGTACTTTTTTTAGATCTAGGCAAATAGGAGCCTTTTTAGGAGAAACTAGGGTCGGATTTGAGTATAGATCACCCGGATCTATCATTTGGGAGGTTTTTGTATTTTTCGGCCACCGGAGGCGGTGGCGTGCGGTAAGGTTGGCGGCAGCAGACGGCTGCCGGCCGACGACGGAATTCCCTCAGATGAGGGAATTTTAGAGAGAAGATAGAGAGAACTTTGGTTCTCTCATTTTAGAGAGAGACGAGGAAATAAAAAAAATGAGAAGAATGGCCTTTAGGTCGCTCATTTTAAGGTTTTTATACCCCTTCCTAAACGACACTGTTTTGGGAGGGGTATATGCGTAATTATATTAATGGGTAAACTATATCTGCTGCCATCATAACTTTGTAATGTTATGTTTTAGTCACTAAAATCAAATCTTGGAACTTTAAATTCGGTTTCTTAATTTTAATTTTATTTACTTTAGTCCTTTACATAAAATGATATATATTTTAGGTAAATAACAGATTTAGCCCTCATAATTTTAATAAATTTTTATTTTAATCCAAAATAAATATATATGGTTAAATTACTCTATAGATACTTAGTTTTCATAATATTTTAATTAGAACTTCTAATTTTAATATGTTATATTTTAATCACGAATTGCAAGTTTTAATTTGTTTTAATGTAATATTTGAATTCGATATATATTTATTTTAGTCCCTAAATTAAATAAATGTAAAATAGCATGTTCAGCCCCTATAATTTTAAATGATTAATTACTAATTAGAATATTTAATTTTTATATGCTATAATTTAATCACTACTTTCATTTAATTACAAATTTTATTATTGTTTATATTTCAATATTATAGTTTTAATTTCATTTATTTTAGTTATTGTTTAAATATATTTTAATATGTTTATTTTCAATATATTTAATTATTATTATTATTATTTAGTCATATATATATATATAATATTTATTTTATTTTTTTTCTATTAAAATCCTATTTATAAATTTAATTTTATAAATTACTTTAAAAATGATCATATTTTAATATATATTTATTTTTCCATATTAAGAAATGACAGTCTTAAAGTAACTGGATGTCCATTTTCTGATATTTTTAAATAAATATCTTACTTTTATAAATTATATTGATCTATTTTTAGATAAATACTTTATTGTATTTATTTGTTTTTTAATATTAAGAAAAGAGCTGTCTTAAAGCACCTAGAAGCCCTTTTCTGATATTTCTAAATAAATAAATATCTCTTATATATATATATTAATAGATTTTCTTAAAAATTATAGTGATAAATTTGAAACAACGAGATTATAAATTAAATATATATTCGAATTTTTAAAATTCTAATAATAAGAGACAATTTATAATTAATGAGTACTAATTTTGGGCGTTATAGGGGTGTTAATCATTCTCTAAACGTAACCGACCACGAATCCTTTTATATTAAATTTTTTTGGTTATACGCATATAAGTTTATCTTTTAAATTATGTTTTCTTGAAAACTATTTTAAAAGATTGTTTTTAGGTATTTGACTTACCTAACCCAAAAAGGTCAATGGCGACTCCAAAAATATTTTTTAAATCAAAATCATTTATTTATTCATTTTAGTTTTCCCGTCAAGTAAAAAAATTTCATGCCCGGACGAAAACCGGTTACGACACATATAAATATCAACATTTTGGTGTGAGCTCAGGGTTCTTAGTTTGTGTTAACCTTATGGTAATTGTTTTTTAACTCCTTTCATTTTGTTTATTTCCTATAGATTTTATTATTTTCCCTTTTGTGATTTTCTTAACTTCCTAGGTCCTACTAGGTTGTCTTTAGACCGGGGAAGTGTCATGTTGTTTATCCTTTTCTTGTGTTTCATTCAACTTGGGATTATCTATAAGTTGGTAATGATCATAATATTCTCTCGGAGATAGGTCCTGTGAGGTTCAAATGTCTGGACAGAAAAACATGTTGTCCTAGTAAATGTGAAGTGTGAAAGCAGTTATCTTCCTTAATCTCTTCTGTTTCTCACATCACTGTCAGATTCGTTTGTATTTTAGAGGGAAAGCATTGCTGCTTATGGTAGTGTAAATAATATCTTTGAAGTGGTCCAGTTTTAGTTTCTGAGTTTATATACATGCAATTCGAATGGAAAATATTATATATTTCATGGTAATCAATGATGCTCAAGGTTTGTACTTCATAATGCTGTATATATGTCGAGCGTCATAGAAGTTTGTGACTAAACGTTGCAAGTTGATCTGTTAAGTTTCTCTCTCTCTCTCTCTCTCTCTCTCTCTCTCTCTCGTTTTCCCTCTTCCTCTAGATCGCTTCTGCAAAATGTCCTACACCATGTGTATTTTCTTCATCTTTGATGTTGTATTTTGCTACGTGCTCAAAATTTTATATTATTGCAGAAAACTGAGCGAGAGAAATCGCATAAACTTGCACGCAAGGGATGCCCTTATCATTATTATGTTGAATTATCTTGACCTACAATCTGTGGGGTTGTGGATAAGATGCTTAAAATGGTTTTTAGCTGTTTTTTAACCGTTTAATACTTATTAAGCCTACGATTTTATTCCCAAAATGATATAATATTACAACAGCTAATGATACATGCACAAACACTTGCAACTTTGCATACCCATATGGAGTCTCGTATGGTCATGAAATTTTACATTTGCAGCCGATCTGCTATTAGGAATTCATTTAGTTGTGAATTTTTTGTTGAATTGTAAAGATTCGGTTCTGTAACGGTTTAATGATTAAGGTTGTTTTTTAAAATTGTGATGACCACGTGTAGACAGAAAATTCAAGTTGGTTATGTAAAGAATAATGGTCAAGCATTCAAAGAACTGTCGAAATATTTCAGGGACCGAAGCCAGAGGAGAAACCCGGTGCAGGTTCAGGGAGTACTGCAAGTGATGCTAATCCTAGTAGCACAAGCTCAACATCTGGAGCATCTGCCGAGAAAGCATCGAGTGATAAGTTTCGGAACTAAGGAGTTCGAGCCGGTGTTGCAACCTTTGGTGCTGCTTTGGGATGGTATTTGAATTCTAAAGATATGAAGCTAGAAGTGCGGGAGTGAGGTTTATTTGATTGGATTCTGGCATAAAATCAAACTTTGTAAAGCAGTTTACGATGTGTTTTCTGATAACGGCTTTTGTCAATGATACTCAACCGGAGGAATGAGTCAACCGAATTTTATAATATTTCTTACAAGTCAAATTTTAGATTCTTATTTTAGGTGGATATCATTTCTGTATTATAATCTGATTTTGTTTATTTGAAAACAACGTCAAACCAATATATCCTAAAATTTTAATCGAGAGGGGTCTGATAAAAAAAATTTTATTTGTTTTTATAAAAACATATGTATTTTTTTAATATTACTTAAAACTTAAAAAAATTTGGCTGGGTCTTGGCCCCAATGAAATTTTGCCCATGCACTGTAGCATATAAAATGAAGGAAACCTCCATAAAAAATACATCCTCATCTTTAACTAATCAAAAAATACTTTTAAGAGTGAACATACACATGTTAATAATATAATTTTTTGAATGAAGTAAATATAAATAAAATTTTAAAATAAACACAATCAATAAAATAAATAATTGAGCGAAAAAAATTTTAATTTCAAAATAAATACGTGATCATCCTCAACTGCTCCGCCACTCATCATCAGTGCTGTAATCCTGCTTTATTTGAAGAAAGAAAGAAAATTCCACTTTTACTGCTTTTTAAATATTTTCTCTATTTTATAAAAAATTGGTATTCAAAAGGAAAATTTAATTAAAAAACAAGTCAAGATGACAGAAATATAAACGTTAAATACTAAATTTATTGTTATGTATAAAAATTAAATCATTGTAATATTTGTCTAAATTATATTTATAAAATAACTACAATCTAATATTTTCTAATTGTAAAAAGAATATGGTAAAAGGTTAATTGACCATCAATTACATTGTAAAAATATTAAATTATCTCTTCTTAACCAAACGCCACCTTAGTCTCTGAAGTCTCTAGGATTTCCGAAAATGAAAATTTTTAGATTTTAGTGACCAAAATAGAAAAGAAGAAAATAATTGAGTGATGAATTGTGTAATTTATTTAATATTATTTAATGGAACTGTTGGTCAATAATAGAAAATATTGATCAAAATGTCATATTGAATTCTTTTTTAGAGTTTGAGGGCCACATTAATTAAAAAACGATAGAGGCCACATTGGTTTTTTTGAAAGTTTAGGGGGCTTTGATGTACTTAATCCAAAATTTAACTATAGTTCATCGACATCTTTAAATATCTTTTAATAGTTAGGTTTATATAATTTATTCTTAATTTCATCCTATCACGTAGCTAATTGATTGACTGGAATTATCACATGCTTTTAAGCCGTCAATAAGAAAAGCCAAAAATATGATAAAATGGAGCTTAAGGATAATTTTTTAAAAGAAATTAAGGGCCAAAATAGAAAAATGAGGTATGGTTTATGGCTCAATTTGTGGATTAAGCCTTTGAGAAATAAAGCGGGACCCAAATGCAATAACTGAAAGAGAAAAATAACATCAGTGACCGAAAATGCCTTATAATATACGATTTTAACCAACTTTTTTTGGATTTGCCAAAATGACCAACAAATTCGCAACGCAAACTCCAATTTCGCAACACAGTTTCCAATTTCGTAACACAGTTTCCAATTTCGCAACGCGAATTTGTAAATCGCAACACAGAAGTCAAATTCGCAACACAAAAGTCAAATTCGTAACTTAATTTCAAATTCGCAACTAGATTTTCGAATTCGCAACACGAATTTAATTTCGCAACAGGTTTTAGTTTCGCAACACAAATGTTTTGGGTATATAACAACGCACCAGCAACAACTCATAGCCTAAATCCCTAAATCGCAACTCATTCCATCTCCATCTATCACTCTCTCCGGTGACATTCGTTCCTATATCCAACGATATCCTTTCCCATCTCTATTTTTTTTACATAATTTTATTTCTATATAATTTTCAATGATTTCTCTCCCAAAATTATCAACTATCAACTTAATAAATGTAAGTTTTTCTTTAAGTTAGTGATGATATCTAGTTTATAGCTCGTTTGTTTAGTAAATTAATTTACAATTTGTAGAATGAAATCATCTAATGTTGTTGATCATGTTTGGATAGATTTGTGTTTTGGAGGGTCATGGGAGAATGTTCATGGTGTTTTACAATATGTGCCTTTATCCATGAATCTTCAACTAAAACTGTCATTAAAAAAGTTAACTTATGAAACTTTAATGTTTCGTGTTGCAAAGAAATTGAATTTAGAGCCTCTAAGTGGATTTAGGCTATCTTATCAGAGAAAATGTAAAGTTTATTTGTTAACCGACAATGATAATGTTGAATGACTCATTGCTTACATTAGTGTTTTGCAAGAAGATGATGTTACATTGTATGTTATTGAACCTAAAAGTAGTAAAGTTGGGTCAGTAGCGGGTAGTAATCAACTAAGTTCTTCAACCCCAGTTTATGGTGCTCACAATGTACAACGTTGTTATCAACCTCAAAATTTAATGGTTCCACCACAATTTCATCACCAAGAAAATTTTGTTTCACCACATTTTCAATACCAAACACAATATCAAACACAATCTCAAAACCCACAACCTTTTCCTAATCCAAATCCCAATCAACTTTCAGCACCAAATTCTGGTTTTCGTATTGATCAGTTAGACGATTATGAGCCACCAGAAAATATTGTGAGTACTAGTCAGTATTCGAAATTTGATCTTAGTCAATACCCGGACTTTGATCTTAGTCAATGATGATGTGATGGAAGAAGAAACAGACCCTGCATGTAATGATTTTGATATTGGTCAATACCCGAATTTTGATGATGAAACAGCCGCTGTCGAGGAAAATGTTATTGATGATAATGAGGAGGAAATTACGACTGTGAATGAACATGTTGAACATCCATTCTGTAATTCATATAACCCTGAAGAAGAAAAAGAAGAAGAAGAAGTCCCAGAATAAAAGAAAAAGAAAAAAAATGCCACGGGAGTATAACTGGAATATGCCAGAATTACTTCAGATACCGGAAGAAGAGTTGGTAAAGATAGCAGTTGATTGTTACATAAAGGTTATTCGTATCAAGAAAGATGATTGTTTTGATACAAAGGAAGACTTGAAGATAGCTTTGTATACGAAATGTGTGGAAGATGGCTATCAACTAAAAGTTAACAAATCAAGCAAAGATCGTTTCGAAACAAAGTGTATGATTGACAAAAACTGTACGTGGCGTATGATTGCAAAGAGGATAAAAGATTACGAAATGTTTCAAGTTAGGACTTTTATTGATAAACATACATGTTCAAGAACCCAAGTTTTTTCCTCACCATAGACAGGCAAACAAAAAGGTGTTGGGTAGTTTTCTGGCTGAGTTAATGTTTTTGAATGGAATGGTATATCGGGGACATGAAATTATGACTGACATGAATGCTCGGTTCAAGATTAGTATCTCTTATTCTCAAGCTTGGAGAGCCAAATGTTATGCCTTGGAATTGTTGAGGGGGTTTCCAGAAGCATCGTTTGCCCAACTGTCGGCTTATTGTCACAATTTAAAGCTGAAAAATCTTGGGTCGGTAACTCATATCAAAACAGATAGAGATGGACGCTTTGAGTTGTTGTTTATCGCCATTGGTGCTGCGGTTAGTAAATAATTATAATTTTGTTGACTCATTTTTGTTAGTTGTATGCATTTCACATTTAAATGATTATATTTCTTGTGTATATGATTTTGTAGATTCGTTCGTTTATTACTTGCATGCGCCCAGTTATTATAGTTGACGGAGCACATTTGAAAGGTCGATACCTTGGAGTAAACTTATTAGTAGTAGCCATGGATGCTAACAATGGGATACTGCCAATAGCTTACGAGGTTGGCAAATCTGAAACCTCTGATTCATGGACATGGATTATGGGGCATCTTAGGGATTGCATAGGTCCTATTAGCAATCTGACAATCATATCCGATAGGGAAAACTCAATTGACAACGCTGTTAGAAGGTGTTTCACATATGCTTTTCATGGACTTTGTGGTGTTCATTTGTACAGAAATCTAAAATCAAGTTCTGCTGGTATAAAAAAAATCACAAATGGACATACTGGAAGGCTGTAAAAGCTTATCGAGAAGTGGATTTTAATAAGCATATAAATTGTTTAAGACGTGTTTTGCCTCAATGTGCTCAAACACTAGAAGATGTTGTGTTTGAAAGATGGTCAAGAGTACATCAACTTTGAGCAAGATATGGTTTCATGATGTCTAATAGTGCAGAATCAATCAACGCTCTAAGTCGTCATTCCTGGAAATTACCCATTACTATGTTAATGGAGTTTTTTCAAGCCTCTATTCAACAGTGGTACTACAAGAAAAGAAACCATGCATGTATTATTTCTTTAAATTCGTAACTTATCATATATTTTACTAAGTATTATTTATTTAAATTTACAGGAACATTGGAACGTCGTGTTACACCATGGACTGAAAAAAAAAGATAATGAAACGTGTTGTGAAGTCAACGTCATGGAGAGTTAAACCATGTTCAAACACTTTGTTTGAAGTATTGGATAATAACTTAAATGGGCTTGTCGATCTAAATGCAAAGACGTGTAGTTGTAAGAAATGACAAACATCTGGTTATCCGTGTGGCCATGTTATAAAAGTTTCTCTTCATCTAAACCAAGATGATTCAAGCGCATACGCTATGGATTGCTACACTACAGAAGTATATCGACAGACTTATGTCGAAATTGTCTACCCATGTCAACATCCTTCTGAGTGGGATATACCAGATGACTTACAAACAGTTTTGCCACCAGTCATGGATAGCAGGCTACCTGGCCGACCAAAAAATCACGATCGTATATCGTCTAAGGGTGAAGAAAAGAGGATATCAACATGTAGTCGGTGCAAGGAAAGTGGTCATACAAGGTTGACCTGTGGATCACCAGTGCCATCACAATCATCTTTTCCTCTACCAAAAAATGGATCCTCATCAAAATCCAAAGCTCATA